ACCGTACAATTTGCAACCATCGCAAGTGTATGTGCCAATACCGTTGACTTCGGTCAAGGGATGGTTATGCGTGAAATGTTGAATCGTGTGCGGTATTGACATCCTTGAGGTTGGTTTGTGGGGAAGCCAAAAGGTTTTTTGATCTAGATTCTCTTATCAAAGGAACTGTATCCAAAATATGCAATAAACTTGATACAAATAGTTATTATTTTAGTTGACTTTGGTGGAGTTGAATGATCATAGGGAATAATATGTCACTTGTTATATAAATTTTCTGTTACAAATTGTTGATATTATACATGAATTTAAAGTTGATATGTTCTACATAACTGGTTTTTCAATACGGACGTGTCTTCAAGTTTTCAACTAGTAAAAAAAAAAAAAAAAAAAATCAACTAGTGTTCCGATAATACGATTAGTGTTTATTAAAATTTTAATGAAATATAAATGCAATTTTATGAATGTGTTACTGTAAATTTTATGAAAGCCCATATAAGGCCCAAATATGGGGGTTAACCAAAGTCCATTTTTACAAACTCATGTCGTCACGTTAAAGTTTAAGGTGGTGTTATTGGCTGATGGATTTTAATAGAATTGAAATCCAACACTAATACAGTGTTATTCAACTAATGATTATAAAAGTTTGGTGTTATTCAATGGTGAAGTTAAAATCAATTCTTTAAGGTTTGTAAAATCCAGTGTTATTCAAAACTAAAAAGACTTGTAAAATCTTTGTATATTAAGTCATTTCAAATAAAACCTCTTTGGAATTTCATGAGTAAATTATTAGAATCAAAATCCAAGATATACTGCAGAGATTTTGAAATCCACACAAACAGATTCTTAAAACCAATATCAGAAAACAAATCTAAACCTTAAATAATTGACTTTAACTCCACCATTAAATAACACCCCCTAAAATCACTAAAATCAGTGTCGGCTAAAAACAGAGGATCAGTCTCAGACTCTCAGTGGTGATTTCAGGTGATAAATCTCGTAGCTTTGATAATGGCAGAGGAAATTAGATTCTTTGAGCTCAACACCGGAGCGAAGATACCATCGGTCGGTCTCGGAACGTGGCAAGCCGATCCTGGTCTCGTCGGAAACGCTGTTGACGCTGCTGTGAAGGTTCGTCTTGTGATTTTGCGATTTATTGTGACTTGTTAGTGATCGTATAGCTAAATTGATTCTACTACTTATGCAGATTGGTTATCGCCACATTGATTGTGCTCAAATCTATGGCAACGAAAAAGAGGTAAAACAAAAAAAACTCATCTTTTGAGATTGTGGTTCCTTGTCTCTGTATAAGTTTTTAAAAGTTGTAGGTTAAGTTGAATTGGTTCAAGGAAAGTGTCGTTCTTCAGTTCAAGTTTGATACTTTTGTCATGCTACTTGATTTTTATTGGGACTTGAAGCAAAAAGTTATGGTCTTGCTTGCTTATGCGTTGTGTTATCAGTTGTGTATCACAATGTATCAATGTGGTTGCTTAAGACTGTTATTCTATTGATATGAACTCTGTTGTTTTGAATTTAGAATTTAGAGGCTCACCGCTCTCTGTATATTCTTGTGAATACCCAACAATGTGAATGATTTAGTGACTGAAAAGAAACTACATGCCTTCTTCCTCGTGCAGATTGGGTTAGTCCTGAAGAAACTGTTTGATGATGGAGTTGTTAAGCGTGAGGAAATGTTCATCACGTCCAAACTCTGGTTGTTGTAATCAGCATTAAGTACCTTATAGATTATTTCTTTTTCTTTGACCAAAAAAAAAAAAGATTATTTCTTTTTCTTTTGTAATCAGCTGTCAAGTCTATGTAGCTTCTAACCTAGTTTACCTTCTCATATGAAAGGTGTACTTATCATGATCCTCAAGAAGTGCCTGAGGCACTAAATAGAACTCTACAAGATCTACAGCTTGACTATGTCGATCTGTATCTCGTAAGTAATATATTAGGAAACCTTGTTTTGTTTGTCTATGTGCTTTTCTCTTCAACATAACTTGCAGCAATCCATTTTGGTACTTTACTTTAGTCGGGCTTATAGATGTGGTATTATCTACCAATATTGTCTCTGCAATTTTTTAAAGTCTTAAGGCTAGTGTGATATATTGTTCAATTATCTGAATTCCTTTTACTTGACTTCTTACACCGATTTGCGGAACCATTTCGACTGACTAACAGTTGTGTGATCCTTTTGAAGATTCACTGGCCTGTTAGCCTCAAGAAAGGTTCTACTGGCTTTAAACCAGAGAACATTTTGCCAACTGATATTCCTAGCACATGGAAAGCAATGGAAGCACTCTTTGATGCGGGCAAGGCTCGAGCTATTGGTGTAAGTAATTTCTCCTCAAAGAAACTGGCAGATCTCTTGGCGGTGGCTCGTGTCCCTCCCGCTGTTAACCAGGTGGAATGTCACCCTTCGTGGCAACAAAATATGCTCAGGGATTTCTGCAAATCTAAAGGCGTTCATCTCTCAGTATGTAGAACAACCATATCCATATCCGCTTTGTAAAATTTACAAAAGATCTCAGAAATTATCATTAGTTGATGTTTTTGTAGGGATACTCTCCGTTGGGTTCTCCAGGGACAACATGGCTAAAGAGCGATGTTTTGAAGAACCCTATTCTTGGTGGTGTTGCTGAGAAGCTCGGCAAGACTCCTGCACAAGTTGCACTACGTTGGGGTCTCCAAATGGGTCAAAGTGTTCTTCCAAAAAGCACACATGAAGACAGGATCAAACAGAATTTTGATGTTTTCAATTGGTCCATACCCGATGACATGTTATCTAAGTTTTCTGAGATTGAACAGGCAAGTGATTTTCTGCACATTGTAGTCCAAATAGGTCAAAGAGCGTTCTTTGTTTTGCTCATACGCTTGGTTTATCAAATATTGAAGACATGTGTTTCAATGTTGCAGGGTAGGTTGGTGCGAGGCATGTCATTTGTTCATGAGACGAGTCCTTATAAGAGTCTTGAAGAACTCTGGGACGGTGAGATATAAGACTCAGCTGATTTGATCTACAGAGATCAAATCATTCACCAATTTGTCATAGATCAGTTTTTAGTAATGCTACTAGTTCTTATGGAGAGGTTCAACAATTGGTTCTGCTACGTTTTCAATATTTTCCTCAGAAGATACATTGATACCCCAATTATATTCAATACCGCAACCATATTGTGAAGTTTGAATGCAAATCATACTAATATGTTGCGCACAATTGAAGATGGTAACACAGTAAATTTATTGCGGATAGCATAACATAACAGAAACAATATAAACAATGGAGATACAAAACATAATGTCATAACGTAAGAGAGTTGCCATTTTAAAATGAACCTCTACTTGCTTCGGTAGCTTGCTAAGGAGCTATGATATTGCGGATAACCTCAACCGTTATGAACTTCAAGATGCGAAGCATTCTTCTTCTTTTAACGTGATATGGACGCGGTACTTGATCCTGACCTTGATTTGTATCTCCGTTATTGTGTTCACATCCGCATCCATGTTTAGGATTATTATGAGTGCCCGTCGCAGCTGATGCAGAAGAATTAACACACTCCATGTGAACATCTAACCCGCATGGACCACACTTGTACCGCCAAGACTGGATGGCACCACGGCAAACCATGCAGGTGCTGTTTGCTTCCGAGTGGCTCAGCTCTAAGGGATGAGCCGGGTGAGGCACGTGGCGCACGTGCTGAGGCAGCCGTGTGCAGAGTGGATGGACATCGAAATCACAAGCTATGCAACGGTAATAGAGCCCCTCGACTGATTCATCGCAGATGTTGCATAAACGCTCTGGTCCTTCAAAGACTAGCCCGAGCTCGTGTTGTGGATGCATAAAGCTGAGGAGGGTAGTGGGACACGTGGCACAGTATTCGTGAAGATGGTAGTCGCAATTGGCGCAACAGTAGGTCTTACCATAGCCCTCGGTGTTGCAGCCATTGCATATGAAGTCACCAACGGTAACCACCGTTAAGGGATGGATATGTTGGACTTCTTTTGACTCTGGCTTCATCTCGTTGTCTTTTTGTTTTCTTTGGTAATGGTTAGATTTGCGAGAATGGGTAGTGGTATTTAACGAAGCAATATTTACAACATTCCAAACATTGTTTGGGAATTAATAAGTAAAAACTTCTGAATGTGATAGCCCCAAACGATCTATGTGAATGTGATTGCCCCAAACGATTTATGTTCAATAACACGATATTTTTTGTTTTTTTCCCTTTTGTTTTTAAACAAAATGACGTGTGTTTAGGTCTAGGGGGGAAAATACATAGTGTTTGTTGAAAGGACAACACGCGTATAATCTGATTGGAACCCAACTTCACGTTAAGTTAACCAAGTTGAGTTCAATGTTTTGGCCACACTTGAGCTTTATTACTTGAACGAAACTATAATCCGGTTAGAAAATAGTTTATTTTAACGAAATCATGTTAATCCAAATTTCTAATACAATGTTATTTTTATTGACTATAATCCTGTGTGTTATTATTAAGCTCCGGTGTATCGGAGAATAACGAGAGATTGAAGAAGAAGATAACAAACTTTATTAATCTCTCGTCAGAGTTTGTTACAAGCGTTAAAAACAACTAAAACATTCTTAAGCTTATATATACAAAACTTATGATCGTTAACCGAAGTTAACCAAACATTGAACCAGTTATAAACCAGCTCAAATCATCAAACCATATATCATAATACACCCCCCTCAAGTCTGAAGCTTCAAACTGTCAGGAAGATACAGACTTGATAATGACATCCTCTTAAGGAGATGATGAAAAGGACCTGGATGTAATGGTTTGGTAAGGATATCAGCATGTTGATTTTCTGTTGGAACATGCAGTGTCTTGAGATTTCCAGCCTTAATCTGATCCCGGACGGTGTGACAATCGATTTCTATATGCTTAGTCCGCTCGTGAAAGACTGGATTCTGAGACAAGTATAGAGCGGATTTGTTATCACAGAAGAGTTTAGCTGGACAACTCACAGTAATATGTAGATCCTTTAGTAATTGTTGAAGCCAGATGATTTCACATGTTGCTTGTGCAAGACTCCTGTATTCAGACTCTGTACTGCTTCTACTCACAACTGCCTGTTTCTTTGATTTCCAAGAAATGAGAGAAGTACCAAGATATATACAATAACCTGTGACAGAACGTCTTGAATCTTTGCATGTTCCCCAGTCAGCATCAGCAAATCCATTTAGACAAATTTCTGTATTTGCAGGATACATCAAACCAAGTCCTGGATTGCCTTTAATGTACCTTAACACCTTTTGAGCGGCTTGGAGATGAACATCAGTAGGAGCAGAGAGAAATTGGCTCAAATGATGAACAGCAAAGGTTATATCCGGTCTTGTAATTGTCAAATACAACAATCTTCCTATCAATTCTCTGTATGATGATGGATTAGAAATAGGAGTACCCATCTCCTTTGTAAGATGAACTGTTGGATCCATAGGAACAGTACTTGGTTTACAAGCCAATAAACCAGCATCCTCCAACAAGTTCTGTGCATATTTCCTCTGACAAACAGAGATTCCTGCAGATGATCTCGCTATCTCTAGTCCAAGAAAGAATCGAGCTGGTCCTAGATCTTTGATCTTAAACTCAGACCGCAACAAAGTTTTCAATTCTTCTAATGCTACATCATCATTACTAGCTATCATCAAATCATCAACATAGACTAGAATAGCAATGAATGATGTAGACTTTACTTTGACAAATAATGTGTTGTCTGCAGGAGATTGAATATAGTTTGCCCCCAACAATACAGAAGATAACCGCTTATACCATTGTCTAGAAGCCTGTTTAAGACCATAAAGCGATTTGATGAGACGACATACCGGATTTGGTGGCAAGGTAACATTCTCCTTTGGTGTATAGCCTTGAGGTAAGCTCATAAAGATTTCCTCATCAAGTTCTCCATGTAAAAAAGCATTGGAAACATCCATTTGCGTTAAACTCCAACCTTTGGCAGAGGCTAAACCAAGCATCAATTTCACACTTGTTAATTTTGCAACAGGTGAAAAAGTGTCTAGATAATCAATCCCCTCCTGTTGAGTAAACCCCTGAGCAACAAGCCTTGCTTTGTATCTTTCTACTGTACCATCAGGGTTATATTTAATAGTGAATACCCATTTACATCCCACAACATTCTTTCCTTCAGGTAAAGTTTCCACAACCCAAGTGTTGTTAGATTCAAGAGCATGAAGCTCCTCATTAGCAGCCTTAGTCCATTTTTCAGACTTCATAGCTTGGCGAAATGTCTTTGGCTCAGTTTCAGTATTATAGGAAAAGATATAGGATTGAAAAGGAGAATTTAGCTTAGTATATGAGACAACAGAGGAAAGAGGATAGGGAGTTTTATGTGTATGTGGTAAAGTAGAAGAAGATGAAGTAGAAGGAATATCTGGAGTTGGCTTAGAAATTTCAGCTGTTGGTGGTAAAGAAGATGAAAATGGAACAAGAGAACAATGATACTCAGACAAATAAGTAGGTGCTTTAGTGTTTCGTTTAGGCCTAGCAATAGGAACAGAATCAATACCTGTATCCTGTGTCTCTGTATTTTGTGTAACATGAATGGTACTAGGTGGTGAGAATGATGCAGATGTGTTATTTTCTGAGTTTTCATATGCAGATGGTGAATCAACAAAATGCAGAGGAACAGGCAATGGCAAGATTGAATTAGGAAACATGTCTACAGACTTAGACAACAATTCACTAGTTTTGAATGGAAACTTAGTTTCATGAAACACAACATTACGAGAAATGGAAATGGAATGTGATTCAAGATCAAGAACCTTATAGCCTTTAAATCCAGAAGGATATCCTAAGAACACACATGGCTTAGCTCTAGGAGAAAATTTATTTCTATCCTGAACATATGTAGAAACATAGCATAAACTTCCAAAACTCTTTAACAAAGTATAGTCAGGTAAACGATTAAGAAGTAATTCATATGGTGATTTATTGTTCAATATCGGAGATGGCAGTCTATTTATCAAATGAGCTGCAGTTAAAACACAATCACTCCAATATTGTAAAGGAATATTTGACTGGAACAAAATAGCTCTAGCAACATTTAACAAGTGTTGATGTTTGCGTTCAACCACAGAATTTTGTTGAGGTGTATATGCACATGAAAAATAATGCATCATACCATGTTCCTTAATGAGATCTGGAAAAGCAAGTTCAGGTGCATTATCTGATCTAATAGCCTTTATTTTTGCATTATATTGAGTAGCAATGAATTTGATAAAAACAGGAAAAACAACAGAAACTTCTCCTTTATTTCTCATCATATAAATCCAAGTAGTTCTAGTACAATCATCAACAAGTGTTAAAAAATATTTGAAACCTTCTACAGACTCAATGCTAAAAGGACCCCAAACATCAAGATGGACTAAATCAAAAGCTTTACTTGCAAGATTATTATGTGAAACATATGCTAATCGTTTTTGCTTTGCTAAAGGACAAATAGAACAATGAAATTCATGACTCTGTAAAGATTTTAAAGAAGGAATGACACTAACTAATTTTTGTGAAGCACTTGAAGACGGATGTCCAAGCCTTTGATGCCAAAGAAGACCATCAGTCAAAACAGAACCAGAAAATGAACAAGCTGCAGGTGTTGATGTGGAAAGGGATTTGTTCTCTGTTTCAAGAATGTATAGATTGTTATATAGTTTACCCCTCCCAATCATCAAGCCCTGAGAAAGTTCCTGAATAAAGCAACAAGTAGGAAAGAAATGAGCAGAGCAAGACAAAGTTCTAACTAAACAACTCACACTTATCAGATTGAATTTGAAATCAGGGACATGTAAAACATTATGTAGGATAATTGATGGAGTGATGCATATGGTACCTGTGTGTGTGATAGAGACCCTAGTACCATTTGGTAAAGTTACAGTAACACCAGACACAGGTATTAATTCCCTAAACATTGCTAAATCTGAACAAACATGACTAGAAGCCCCACTATCTATTATCCAAGCATCAGGTGCTAAAAATTTTTCAAGAGAAGAAAGAGTATGATTCTGAAATGTAAGATTATCATTTTCAAATGTAAGGCTAGTAGAGGGAAAAGGAAAAGTACCAGAAATAGAAGTCTGAGCCATTAATCCATGTTCAGTAATAGTAGCCATTGGACCAGACATACTAGGAGAAGGAACTTCAGTCTCTTGAACCTTGACAGACGAATTGAATTGAGAAACTAGACTCTGAATTTGGTCTGTTGTAAGATCTTGAAGATTCACATTGTTACCACCAGTAGTAACTTGAGGTTGACCAGGCAGAGAAGAACCTACTGAATAGCTATTTGCATGTGAATTTGCATAAGCATTTGCATTCTGCATTGTATTAGCATATGGAACCAATTGCATTGGGGAAGTTAACTGCATTTGAGCGACCATAGGTTGCATAGGTTGTTGTGGCATCCTAGGCTGAAACTGTGTTGTTTGCATCCTTGGTTGAATTTGTAGTTGACCATTATTCCTGTAAGGTGCATTAGTCTTGTAGCCTGGTGGATACCCATGAATCTTGAAACACTTCTGAACCGTATGACCCATCTTCCCACAGTTACTGCAAATCGGTTTTTGTATTGGTCTTCCTGTGTTATAAGCTGCAATATAGCCATAGTCTGCATTATCCACCATAGGAGCAGTAGCTTGAAAAGCAACAGAATCAATTCTAGTAGCTGGTCTAATGTTCTTCTGCCTCTCATCTTGACTAACAATGTTAAAAGCTTCTTCAATTGTAGGGATAGGCTTTAACATAAGAATATGACGTCTGGTTTGTTCATATCCTTCATTCAGTCCCATAAGAAACTTAGTCACACGACTTCTTTGCTGAAGTTTCTCCCATTTGACTGCAGCATCACACTCACATTTACCACAAGAACAAACTGGTAACTCAACTATAAATTCTTGTGTC